TTGTGTGTGTGTGTATATATATATATATATATATATATGTGTGTGTGTGTGTGTGTGTGTGTGTGTGTGTGAGGTATTAAGGTAATTTATACAAACTGTTTGTTTCAGGCATACAAAAATGTAGGTTTACATTTAGTTTCAAACATAATTCAAAGATTATTGTATTTCAGCATCACCATTGATGTTCAAGTAACAATTTTATTAATAGTAGAACCATATGAAGAATGGAATATTTCTATATTAACCACTGGTTTAGCATATGACTTTTAGATTTATTATTATCATTTTATTTATTAATCATTACACAGTGATTTGAAAAAATGTGTACATATGGGAAAAAGGGTCTTATAAGTGATTTTGCTCAGGTAGGTTCAGTTTGCTACACTTGATACATAGTATTCATGGTATGTTCTTATCACTTCTGATTGAGTGTTTTTTTTTAGAACAGGAAATACACTATTTGATATTTTCCTCTTCATATTCCTAAACAACTTCACATAACTCAGATTATCATTAAGTACACATGTATAAGCACATTATTTAAGCTACTTCTAGGTTTTGATTTTACTCACTCTATTATTTTTCTCTATTGCCAGGATCTTTTTTTATAGCCTATTTGATAGTAATGCTTTTCTGTGGGATTCCAATGCTGAGGGCAGAGCTTGCCATTGGTCAGCTGACTCAGAATAAGATGATCAATGCTTTTGGACGATTGTGTCCTCTTACAAAAGGTCTGTGTTATTATTATACAATATTACTTATTTGATTTCTTGTTTAACTTTTTTTAACTTACGTTGTATGAAAAAGTTTTTATCATGTTCAATATCAAATTAAATATTTCAAGGTTATGACTAAGAAGAATTGGTTAACTAAAACATTGTGATACCATAGTTTTAATACCAGATGTTTCAAGCATTCCTCTGATAAACAGGAACATAGATTGAAGTGGTAGTGAGGTTTGACTTCAGTGAGAGCCTAAAACTTTAGCTTTACTTAGAAAGCTGATGCTGTGTTTAATTAATCTTTTTCCTGTGTTTTTGTTCTGTAACTTGATTTTGTAATTTTTGGTTCCAGAATTTTGGTCTACTAATGTGGGCACAATCCCCTCTTTTTTCCACTATCCAAACTATTGAAGATGTGGAGATTCTATTTATTTTTTCCGTATGAAAATCATTTTGGCATTGCTTGTGTTGCATAACAGTACTCCAGTCTACAAATTGTTAAATTAGGTAGAGTTGAAATTTGAATTAAATATTAGAGAAACAATGGAAATTGGAAAAAGCAAAGTTATTGTGCTGAACAAAGAAGTTGGTCCAGGTTTAGAAGAAATATAGTACTGGACATATGTTTTGTAAACTCCGGATATTTTAAGTCTAAATGATGTTAAAGGAATGTAAATTATTATGTAGTTATATAAGTCTTTTTAGGGCTGGTCCCTGTTTTTAGTAAGTTATTTATTGTGTAATTATTTTAGCATTGTATTCCTTTTAATTCTGTATACAAGGTAAATAAAAAAATTTGGAATTTAAAACCTGCAAGTAGGGATTGTAAAAAAAGTAAAGAAACAAGGCTGGAGATACTGTAGACATTATTTATTCAAACCACAAAACCCCTGTTTTGGCTCCATGCTGTAACCTAGGATTACATTTGGTGGTGTCAAAATAGGGATTTGTAGTTTTGAGTAAATAATGTCTACAGTATCTCCAGCCTTGTTTCTTTACTTTTTTTATGATCCCTATTTGCAGGTTTTAAATTCCCAATTTTTTATTTATCTTGTTTTCTGACTTTTTTTTATGCTCAGCTATGGGCAAAGGATTACTTGATTTGGTAGCCACTATATACATTGTTATGATAATAATCATAGCTAATAGCTAGCTGATATGGTTCACAATGATTTACTGGAGCTATTGACTATTTGATCGCATTAGTTCGAAATGTAAAATGTTAAGCTGCAATTGGAGATTGTTATGGAGATTTGTTTGAGAATATAGTTAGCATTTATAGTTCTTGTGTAAATAAATTATCTTTTTAAATATATGCCTAGACTAAGATACAACCCCCCACTAAGTGCAAAAAAATATTTACCAGTAGAAAAGCAGCATTTTCAAATAAAATATATATTTCTAAAACATCACTTTGAATAAACCTTCATGTCTTTTAAAGTAATTATTGTATGGATGTATGTAATAAAATTTCATATTATGTGTTTTGATTTTTTTTTTACTCCTTCACTTCATACGTAATATAGGGGTTGGCTTTCTAAAGACACCAATTGTATAGTGTACAAAGCATTGAGTATGTACATGTTACAGTCATCTAATGCTCATCTGTTATTGGCTGGTAATTCTTGTTTCACCCTGTACTTGAGCTTTTAAAGCGAACACCAGATATTTGTAAGAAAGTTAACTTCAAGGGGTAATGATAACATCTTTTAGTCCCTGATAAATGGAGTAAGTCCAGAGATCCACTGTCTTCCCTTGTGTCTCTTCCTTCATCTCTTCACCTCTCATTGTTGTGGTAGCTCAATCTGTAATACATAACCCTAGGCATCCCTCTGCTCCACATCATATGGTCTTGCATCCATTCATGGATGCCTTTCTGTCTGGATGGGGTGTGGTTCTGCACACCTCCACTTCAGAGTCTGATGTCTAGAGGAGTAATCTTTTCACTTCAGTATCCTTGGTATGTTGGCTACTCATTTAGTGTGTAATAAAAATAACTTATTTATGTTTAAGAAACTGAAGATAAATATTATTATTGGCTGATTTTCAGGGCTGTTTTTCTGTTTTTTTCAAGTGATAAGATTGCATTCAGTTATATGTGAGATTCAAAATATATATAGTCTTTATGTAAGCTTTTTTTATCCACACAAGACAGTTTGACTTTCATAAATGTATTTTGTCTCAGAGTTTTTTTTTTCAGAATTATTGTTAAGAAATGCAAGTGACTTTCTGACTGTCCTTTTTGTATTTCAGTCATAGCTCTGATAAAATTTTCCCTTTTTCTTATTTTAAACCACCTTTATACAGACTTAATTAACACCTTTACTAATGGTACCTTGAACTTGTTCTAAATGTGAAACTGAGCCTATCTAGTGTGACTAGCCTCACCACCAGTTGTGTTAGATTCTGCAGGACAAGTCTTTACAGAGAAAAACATTTTGTATATCATTTCTTGCTATTAATACCAACCAGCACATATTTACACGCATCCTTGTCAGTGATACATCAAGCCCTGCATTTTCACAACACTAATAGTTGTGATTTGTATTAAAATGCTGTTTTAGAGAACAACTGAAACATTTGGACAGTTACTTTCATAATGCATTTGTTATGTTCTATACCTATATTACTTTAATTATTTAGCAATTAACCACTTAACAGAATTTTCTGCCAGGTTCTTTGTGATCTTTAAGTATTTATTCAATTTATATTTTCTTATTATAGTTATCAAATTAATATTTTGTGGTTCTTTCTGCTTCATATTTCATTAATTGCACAGAGAGGAGAATTTCTATGTGTTTCTAATTTTCTTGTGTTTATCCTAAAATTAAACTATGCACTTTCTAGCTTAAATTTTAGGAAATTTTATCATTTGTTGCTCTTTTTTTCAGTGATTTTGTTTATTCCTTAAATTCTGGATTAACTCTAAATTTTGAAGCCTTTTGATTTCTTTGATATATACTAAATACTTTGTAGAGAAAATATCAGTTTTACTTGGATCTTTGGCCTTTTATTTGATTTTCATTTGTTTTAGGACTTGTATAGTGTGCAAGTTTTTCCACTGAGACCATTTGTATTCTCTCCTTACAAGTTCAGTCACTTGGAGGTTTTGTATTTCTTTTTTTTCAACAAGACTGATCACTTGATATTCATCCGAAATCTAAGGCAGGGTTTTTCTTTTGGTAGAATTTTATCATTTGATTTAATGAAATTGGAACCTTTTGTTAATTGCATAAGGCTTAGCAGATGATTTTGGTAAACTTACTAGCTTTCTTTCTAAGTTCAAAGGAAGCAAAGAAATTTCCAAAATCAGATTAAAGTCTGTTGATAGAAAAACCCCAAACCTACAGATAAAACACATTCTTCAGTTGTGGTCTCTTTAAAACTTTCCTTCTAAATGTCCAGACTTTGGCAAATGAATTATTTTTATATGTTTTTGTCCTAATGCATTATTCCAACCAAAGTAATATTTCTTTCCCTAATCTCTCAAGTTGACTTTAGCAGATTGTTCAGAGAGATTATGTAGACAATAACAAGGATTTGCAGTGAAAGTTCAGGATTCTATCCTATCAGATTTTGACATCTTGATGTATCATTCAGAGGTATTACGTAGACATTAATGGAGACTTGCAATTTAAGCTTGATTGTATCCTACTGAATTTTGACATCTTGGTGTTTGGTGTTTTTGTTCTCTAGAGTATATTGTCTCTGCTGACGTGAGAATGTAGCCTAACATCACTTTTTCTGCATGGTATGGTTCTGTATTTTCCGCTTTGGGGATTTGGCATTCCCAGTGGTAGATTTTTGTAATTGGCCATGTTAATATTAAGTATATTTATTATTTTGATATTTTCTTTGGTGTCCTATATTCTTTGGTCTTTCTTGCGGCTAGGTTACTACCTCAGTAGAGGGACATTATGTAGCATTTTGAGTTAATCAGGTGAAATGAATGTTTGTTCATTATCAGTGATCACTATGCTTATCTGCTCTGTGTAAATAGATAGTTTTATTTTCCATTCTTGAGTAACACAGATTACTCTTAATTCTATTCTACTTAATTGTGAGTCCCATATTGACTAAAGTGGTATGATCAGTTCTGGCATAACTTGTCTTAATTATACTTGGTTTCATACAGTTTTTTGATAATGGTTTGGAGTTGGATGCATCTGGATTTTGTGTCTCCAACTCGTTCTTTGGAGTGTTTCTGTCATTCATTCCATCAGAATTATGCCTATCATAAAATTGCTGGTAGTTTAGCTGCATCTAAATTTCATGGTCAGTACCATTTGTTGTAACATTGCTTTTTTTTAATAATGAGTGTGATATTCTGAAGATCTTCTATTAATGTTGATATTAAAATACATATTTCAGTATTATTTGTTGTATTTAGTTAGTGAGAAAGTGCTGGAATATGTTTAAATTTTCAAAAGCTAAGTAATTATTTTCCTTGACATTTACAGATCACTGTATTAAATACTAAAATAGACTAAATTCATGAATTTGAAAATTCTTTTATTAAACATTTTATAGTTTTTTGTTGATAAACATTAAAATTTTACATTTCATCATCAATATAAAGTTTGTAGGAATTAATTTTAAACATTTCTCATAATTACAGGTCTCGGAATAGCAGGCATTCTTGCTTCTTTCTGGCTTACAGCTTCGTACAGTGTCTTGTTTGCATGGTCTCTTTTCTACTTTTTCAATTCCATATTTGAAGTTCCTCGTTGGTCACGTTGTAACAATTCATGGAACACTCAGTTGTGTAGGACACACGGTTCCATAACAGAACTGACTACGAAACTTTTAACAGTTGATCAAGTACTTGTGTCGGGACCAAATCAAACTCTTGCAAAAGAGAATGGCACCGAATCTGAAGGGGAAGTTAGATCTTCATCCATAATTCCTTCAGAAAACAATAACAGTGAGATGGCATCACCACTATCAGGGTTTTGTCGTTCTGCTGAAGAATTTTTCAAGTAAGTGTTAGAAAGTACTGAATCTTTAAAATCATGATAAGAACTGTTAAGCTGTTACTTGATGTACACGTAACTAAGCCAGGGTTTAGTTACATGTACATCAACTGACAACTTTGTCCTGGCTTATTTACATGTACATCAACTGATAATGTTGTCCTGGTTTAGTTACATGTACATCAACTGACAACTTTGTCCTGGCTTAGTTACGTGTACATCAACTGATAATGTTGTCCTGATTTAGTTACATGTACATCAACTGACAACTTTGTCCTGGCTTATTTACATGTACATCAACTGATAATGTTGTCCTGGTTTAGTTACATGTACATCAGCTGACAGCTTTGCCAGGAAAATATATCAGTTGATGTACACAGAAATATACCAGGACAAAGTTGTTAATTGATGTACATATAATTGTTTGTTTTGAATTTATGCACAAAGCTACACAATGGGCTATCTGTGCTCTGCCCACCACAGGTATCGAAAGCCGGTTTCTAGCATTGTAAGTCTGCAGACATACCACTGTGCCACTGGGGGGCGTACATGTAATTAAACTAGGACAAATTTTTCAGTTAATATGTATGAAATGTAGTAAATTTGAAAACAGGGATTTTATAATACTTAATGTGAGACTTGGACTCTTCAGTTCATTTCCAGAACCTAAGAATTTTGCTGCTGGTTTTTTGAGCACGAGGTGTCATAACCAGACATTTGTTGCCATTGCTAAATCAACCTATAATTTGGACACATACCGTTAGGACCGTCTGGTTTCTACACCTACATTTGTACCCCAAGGTTCTTCTCTGCCTAATGTTGTTGGTTTGTAAAAGTGTTTTAGCTACCACGAAGAAAAAAATAAGTTTTTGTTTGATTAGCAATTAAGCACAATACAACAACAAAAAATTACTTCTTTGAAAAAAGTTCATTGTCAGAATAGAATAATTGTTTTTAATACTTATGTTTGGCTTTCAAATATCATAGCTAACCTTTATATGTTTGGTGACATTTTAATTCTGTCTTATAATGGAGTTTGTTATTGTTTGCTTTGTTGCTTGTATTATTCTTCAGTAGTTTCAGTTGGAAAAATGTATAAAAAAAAGAACAGCTGTGGCATTGTACTTTTCACTTAGGCTTTGTATAGGAATTTATAGTTTTTTCTTGTGTTGTGTATAATTAGAGGTATTTATTGCATATTTTTGTTAAATATTTTACAACATTGGTGTTCTATTGAAGTTACTTGTTTTATGATATGAGGGGATTTTGGATGGATCATACATTGAGTTTGAAAGAGAAAATATCAAAGTTATTTTAGCAGACTGATTGTCTTTATTTGTATTTTTGTCAGAATATCGTTGTATTTTTACAACTTATAATTTTTTGTTTTCATTTCTTGCAGTCAAAAGTTAATAGAGGTTACAAATGGATTGGATAACATGGGTCAGGTCCGGTGGGAGCTTTTTGCATCAATCTTGGTGTGCCTAATCTTGGTTTATATTGCAGTGAGGAAGTCTTCATTTCGCTTGGTTCGGCGAAGGTACAAGTTGGTTTTGGTTCCCCTTGTGCTGTTGCTTGCCCTCCTTATTCGTGTTGTTGTTTTAGATGGTTCTTCATCTGGCCTTCGATTTTTCTTTCAACCTACAGCAGAAGGCCTTGTTAATCCCAAAGTAAGATAAATATAGATGTGCTTTTATATTTTATTGAATATTTATGTAGTTAGTAGATTTCAAATCAGTGTATAAAAAATTGTGTTGATAATAATGCTGAGCTCTTGCACGTTTAACCAGACTTTTTAGTAGTAATACTGTTTCCACTTGGGAACAGACTTCCTTATTGTGTGATACATGTTTTTGTAGAATTAACCTTACTGAAGTTAGTGTGTTTCACGTGTTTAAGTCTTTTGAATGAATACTTAATGAATTATGAAAGCTTGTGTAATATCTCTTTATTCATTAAAAAATATATAACCTAGAAGTAAATGATACAAGCTTGCTTAATTTTGTGAATCTGCATTTTTACAGGTGTGGCTGTACGCTGTTGCTCAGACACTGCATTCTTTAGGTCTAGGAATAGGAACAGTTTTGTCAATGGCATCACGAAACAAACAACATAATGACATGATCAGGTATGAAAACTGAATTGGAGAATATAATATACAATGTAAGATATTTTTATGAAAGTTGCAATAACTGTATTTGGAAGATCATACAACCTAATATTGGCTGGTGATATGTTTCTTATGGTTTTATATATATATATATATATTCAGTAGAACTTTCAAATACCTTTTAAAGCATTAAGAAAAAAAAAGATTGGATGTGAGTTCTATCAGAGGTTTAAACATTGCTTTCAGTAAAGTATTTTTATGTGGTATAAGCATTATTATTGTTAATAGAAAATATGGAAATGAACACATTTTCTTTTCATTTGGTTATAATGAGATAATTGTGTAAATGATATGTATTTTACTGTGCTTAGAGATTACTTAGGGAATATGAGGAACACCATCTTTACAGAATGCATTTGTTGTATACTAGAGATAGCAGAATCATTGCATTGGTTAACCTTGTGGTCATTACTCTTGTGGGTTGTGTCTTCTATGGTGTGGTTGGCCATGTGTCTTATGTCTGGCAAACATCTATAGACAATGTACTGAACTATGGTAAGTTATTATTTGTATAGTTTGCCCTTAAAACTAATTTTTTGCTGTTGTTGAACTTAAATAGTATGGATATTAAGACTAACTAACATTTTCAGAAGTTCAATTCACTCATTAAATATTATCTGTTTCAAGCTCCCATTGTTTGGTGTAGTTATTGATTCTTATTTTTTCACCAGAATTATAGAGATTTGGTTACTAATAAAAGCTTTACTTTTTTAAAGAAAGCTTTGTCATTTTTTTATCTGGCAGCTACGGGTGTTTTTTCATTTTTGTTTTTAAATATGAAAATCTTTTAAAATTAAGTTTTTTTGTGGGACATTCAGGTGTTTCTTTAATAGTACAGGGTTGTCCAAAATTATCTTCCCTATTTTAAAATATAAATAATTAAATAACTAAAGAAATACAGCCATGCAGTTTTCAACATCTTGTAACCCAAATCAAACAGGTTTTAAAGACATGTCAATAGACCTCTCCGTGTGCACCATTAGTGGCTATCGGCACGTCTAACTGATATTTGATTTTAGACCATGTTTGTTGCAACTTGTCCACAGTTACACTGGTGATGACATCTGTTATCATGGTCTATAGCTCCATTATGTTTGCTGTAGGTGTGGGTGTGCAATACACGATGTTCTTAACATACCACCTCAAGGAAAGAAGTCTAGTGAAGTGATCTCTGGCAAATCTGGAGGCCACGGAATTGGACTACCTTGCAAGCCAAATGATGCATTGAGCCTTTTCTTGCAAGATTGTCATTTTATGGGGTAACACTAATCACTGGAGTGAAAAAATGTCAGTAAAAACTGTTTACATTGGGCTATAAGATGTTGAAACTGCATATTTGTATTTCTTTAATTATTTAATTACTAAATTTTAAAATAGGAATCAGAATTTTGGACCACCCTGTATATGGAAATATTGGTTGCTTGTTCATACAGAGATTAATAAATCTTTGAAATTGTCTTTCAACTTTAAAAATATAGAATTGAAATATTCCTTCTCCATTTTAATTCCAAACATGTCATACATCCAGTTGCTAGACCTAGTGGCATGTAAAGCTAATTGTGGAGAGAAACTGCGAAATGTTTTACTATTTAATTTAGTGTAATGATGAAGTTTGTAATGTTTTTATCTTGTATACTACTAAAATGTATTGAAGAAACTTCAAAATTTCATCTTCTTAATGTTATTTTTTTTTATCTATCTAATGCATTTATTAGTTTTGGAAAATAGTCACAAACAAAATTAGAATTTTTCAGTTTTTTCTTATTGGATTTAAATTTTTATGTGTATTTCTTCTATGCTTTTTTTTTTAGATCCTGGATCTGTGTTTGTTCTGTATTCTGAACTTCTGGCTACGATGCCTTTACCTACACTTTGGGCCATTCTTTTCTTCTTGATGATGTTATGTTTGGCTCTCAACTCTCAAGTATGTTTTTGTTTTAGAAGTAGATAATTCCTTTTACGAATGTTTTTGTTTTAGAAGTAGATAATTCCTTTCACGAATGTTTTTGTTTTGGAAGTAGATAATTCCTTTCACGAATGTTTTTGTTTTGGGAAGTAGATAATTCC